GTCTCTAGAGTTGAAGGGCCATCCTTCAAATTAGTCCCCTACGCCCTTGAGCAGAGTTCTATGAAGTCCTACCGTTGACAAGATCATAACATCAGAAAAACGGGGTGTATACAGTACCTCGAAAACTCGCGCGTGAAGTTAAATGTGTCGGCTTGTAGACGCACACAACTGATCGTACAGTCCTCATCATTACGGACTGTCGGGGCGGCACAGCCGCGCTGCAATGTGACAGCGGCTGCGGCTCGGTGACGGCGAATCAGCTGATTTCCATGGAATTCGGCTGCGAATTCCCACTTTTTCAACTCTTCGAGCTTCGAAAGTGGAAGGTGAGTTATTTTGAGCAATTTTAAATTGTACTGACTCTGAATGAATCTGAAAGAATGCAAGCCATTTGAATAAATGCCTGAAATAAGGCAAAATACAAGGAAAAGAGCATATAATCGACATAAAAATAAAGGAAATCAGAGCCAGTACAATTCAAAATTGTTCAGAATAACTCACCTTCCACTTTAGAAGCTTGAAGAGCTGAAAAAGTAGGAATTTGCAGCCGAATTCCATCGAAATCAGCTGATTCACCGTCACCGCAGCCGCTGTCGCGTCACAGTGCAGCGCGGCTGTGCCGCCCCGACAGTCCGTAATGATGAGGACTGTACCTCGAGCTGCACGTAGATGCACCGAGCGCACATGGCACCACTCAGTTCCAACCAGGCGGTAACTGGCTATAGGTGGAGGCGGAGTTAGAGTTGCTCCTACTTCCTGGCCTCGCCCCGGAGCTTCCTTACCCTTCCTATCATTTACCATCGTCATTGACCGGGCCTCTTGTACGCCAAGCACGTGCAAAAGTTTGGGTCATCGATATACCAGGCTGTGCAAAAGGCGTATAACTGCTGCTCTCAAACTTGGGTATTCGAACCGGCTTGCGCGGTTGTACAGTCCGTCATCCTTCGACCTGCATCTAGCGTCGGAGTACGCCCAGACCGCGAGTGCCCGCGACCACGTCACAAGTAGCAATCTGTCGCGCCGGCGCCATCTGACCCTGGCGTTCCTCTCATCCTTGCGTGCTCGACACGCGCCGCTATAGATACTCTGCCCCGCCCATGACGGCTGGCGCGGCTCATCAGCTGATTATCAAACTAACGAACGCCGATTTTTCTTCAAACATCTGTTCTCATTCGGCGCTTCGGAGAAGTAATCTAATTAAATTTTCTTTACTTGATAAAATTTTTATAGTGTCTTGCTTTTATGTGATTGGTGAATTTTTTTTTGAATCTTTTTTCGCTATTGCTTTTATGCCATTTTCAGTTCTGTTTTTTCCCCATTTCTTCCCCCCTATTTGGCTTCTTTTTCATTACTGTGTCACTGATGTGTTCCTGTCTTTGCTGAGAACACTCTCTGACACGGTTTTGAAGACTAGAGCCGCTTTTACACCCGTGTTCTTCAAGCTGCCCGTAAATAATGCCGGCTGGTGAGTATTTCAATTATTTTTTGTTTATTCTTTCTTTGTATGATGTATTCTTCATTACTATACCATTGTTGTGTTCTGTGCTCCGCAGGAACATTCTATTTTGCATGTAGTTTTGGAGCTATGTTTTTTTTTAAAATCAAGCTTTTTATCAACTTGTGCTGTCTATGCCCTTATTTGAGCGTCGGTAGTTTTTCGCTTACGAGTCAGAGCACCAATAGCTTGTAGACAAATCAGAAGTGAGTCCACCCCATGCTGCCTCTAGCATAGTGGGTAGTTTCCACAATATTCGTTATACGAGTCAAAGGTTCGGAATCCCTTGGTGGACTGCTTTTTGCATTTTGAAGCGAGAATTGGTCAGGTTAGAAAAGCCCTATCATAGCATTTCCTGTCATGGCTAGGCCGTCTTGAACCTTCCAGAGAGTTACTGGCTGAAGAATGCAAAAAGAAAGGCCAACGCTCACCAAGGAATTCGAAGCCTTTGACTTGATATTACCATATTCGGGGACAAACCACACTATGCTACGATGCAATTTCGTAGTGGACCTCACTTCTGATTTGGTTTATACCATGCGCTCCGTAATCGAAAAAACTGCAACCGACCGCCTTAAATTATACGGGCACTAGCACAACTTTGAGAAAAACAGCGTCATTTTAAAAAAACATAAGCTCCAAAACCATGCCAAAGTGTGTCCTTCGCGTAGCACAGAACACAACAATGGTATAGTAATGAAGAATACATCATACAAAAAAAGAAGAAACACGAAAATGAAATGGGAAATACTCACGCCGGCTATTATATTATGGCAGCTCGAAGGAACACAGGGTGTTAAAGCACGCTCTAGTCTTCCATACCGGGTCAGAGATTAATTCTGCAGCAACGACCAGTAACACAACGTCTAGTGACACATAATGAAAAAAAGCCAAATAGCGGGGAGAAGAAATGGAGGAAAAAACCAGGACGAAACGCTGAAAATGCAACATATGCGAAAAAAGCATTTGAAAACAACAAAAATTACACCAAACCAACAAAAAAAGCAAGACACTAATAAAATTTATCAAGTAAAGAAAAAAAGTAACTTACCTTCTCGAAAGCCGGCCGAAATAAGACGATTTTTGAAGAAAAATCGGCACGATTTTGAAGAAAAATCGGCTTCGTCGAGTCGATAATCAGCTGATCGCCGCGCCAGCCGTCAATGGGCAGGCGGCAGAGTACTATGCGGCGCGTGTCGAGCGCGCAGGGAGTGAGAGGACGCAGGGTAGCTGGCCCCGCGCCGCCGACAGATTGCTACTTGTGACGCGGTCGCTGGGGCACTCGCGTCTGCGGTCCTCCGACCGCCCTAATCAGGTCGAAGGATGACGACTGTATGAGTTCAACCCGACACATCTGATTTCACGCAGATTTTTCGGAGTTACTGTATACGCGCTGTTTTCGTGGAGTTAATTTTGTGCCCACTACGCTTTGACCTTCTGGAAGGTTCGCAGTCGTTTGTTTCAGCTAAGTGAAAAGTGCGGTCACTTGAGCCATGAAGAACGGACAATTATTGCATGTTTCTGTGAAGAGGACTATTGCAACACCAATGAATACATGTTGGTAAGGAACAGATCAATAGCGACAGATAGCGACACTTCACACAGTCCACACTAATTATAAGGGCGGAGTTAGTCTCATCATTGTGCCTATTGGCAGACCCTCCTACGGGCTGCGCTAGAAGAGAGAATGCGTCAGGTAGTGGACACCATCAGTGCGGCCTGCTCCTTTCAGAATCTTCGAATTCAGAAAAACATGCGTGAGCATTTAAAAGAAGATTCCCGGTTGCAGTAAATTGCAAAGCCTACCAGACATCGCTCAAGGCCGGTGAGAAATCTGGATTGTCTCTCACCTTGAACAAGCGAGCCTTCTGTTCCCAGGACGGTAAATCGGTACCATATTCGTCTGTCCGAAGACGGTAATCGTCTGGAAGGATAATTACGCTGAATTGTGAATGAGCTGCCCCCCCCCCCTTCCTCCCGTAAGACATTGTATGGGCCATATCGTATTCAATGAGCCACTGCGATTCTGAACGGAAGGAATGCGCGCCCATCCCCAAAAAGGACTGATGGCGAAGACTGTGTACGCGAAGACTGTGGTTGCGCTCATACTTTGGGCAGCGTCCACCAGCGACCAGCACATTCTGAGAATCATAGTCATCAACTAGGGAAGTATAGATATCGACCTGGCGACCAGCAGCGTCTACCAGCGTCCAGCAGTGACCATCAACGTCTCAAGGGCCAAGGAAATTTAGGTATCGACTTAGCGACTAGCACCATTCCGTAGTGGAGAGCATGGGACGTAGGAGGGTTGCAGAGAGTTGGTAAAGTATGGGGTGTTAGGAGGGGAGCGGACCGTAGGTACACTTTTTATCCCTGAGACGGGTAGGCGTAGCATTTGAACATGGTATAGAATGGGTCACTCGTGGGATTTCCGTTTGGGATAACTGTCATCCTATTCTGTGTTGGACAGAGACATGACTTCGACTGTGTCAGAAATGAAAATATCTCACCAAGAGAAACGCAACCTCCACGTTTAGTTGACATAAGCAGCCACGCCTACCACATCTCAGGGATTTCGCGTTTAGAAAATAGGGGGCGATGAGGGTAACAGGTAGCTGGTAGAGAGTGTGGGGCGATAGGATGGTACCGGCTGTCTGCCATCCTCCTATCGCCCCATGCTCTCCACTCTGGGACGATGCTGGTCGCTGATAGACGCTGCTAGACGTTGGTGATCGCGATGTATGAACGCGGCCTTATTTGGTACATTACAGGATATCATGAGAAATGCGACAGAGCTAGAAGCAGTACGTCTAGCGGCAACCCTCTCTTCGGAACCTCAGAACGACACCGCCAAAGAATTATTTCTTTGCCTAAAACGACGTCTCGGTCTGATTGAAGAGACGGAATCAGAGAGCAGTAAGAGCGATTCGGCTGGAGAGAAGCCCATATATCACAACATGTAAGCTTTTACGGGCAAAAATCAGAACCGTACAAAGGTGGCATCAGTTCGTTGAAGGGCAAACACGATTGAATTCCGGTCTCGCGTTGCCTAAGCTAACCACTCTTCACTTACTTGCCGGTTCGTGGGCGCACATAAGACGAGGGCACCCTTGGCACCCATTTGAGCCATGGCGGAATTGTAGTTTTGCTAAATTTCACCACCGGACAAAAGATGATGCGCCACTGACGTCGCATAAGACATCTACACCTTATCATTAACGGCGACATTTCGACCAGGGCACCTCCTACGTGAGGAAAAACCAGCTAGGCGGTCGTATTGGGTCGCTGGAGGAGAGGGTGGTGGTGGGGTGGGGGGATTTGCCTTGCAGCAATAATGGTTGTTGACCTCTCTCGGTCTTTAGTAAGCTTTTAGTGCGCTATGCACACCCTCCCCTTCCCCCCACTTAATCGACGGCCTGTTTTTTTGGGAGAGGGATGGGGAGGTAACCTACGAATTGAGACAACATGATTACGGAAGCTGGTAGAAGGCTGAGAGAATTCATGAAGATAGTAGGGTAGTGCGGTCATACGAGTAGGTAGCCTCGAGAGGAGAGATCCCATTTCGCGAGACTTTTCCTTGACGGCAGAGAGTGCCCTGGTTTCGGGACGCGGCGCCTAGTCATTGTGAAACAAAAGTATTGGTGAGGCGGAGGTGGTGTAGTGACAAGTGGCGCGCTTACCACTCGCGCGGCCGGGTTCAAATCCCGGGTCGACTCCCGCCCAGGCCAACCAAGCCTTCTACCCTCCGGGGACGGTAAATTGGTACCAGATTCGTCTGGGAGGATAAAACACTGACTTGTACATCGGCTGGCCAGGCCGCGGCGGCCGCCCGCGCCGCGCGGCGCCGGCCCCGGGCGGGCGGGCCCGCGGCGGGGCCGCGGCCGGCGCCGCGCCCCGCGGGCGGGCGGCGCCGGCCGGGCGCGGCCGGGCGGCCGCGGCCGCCGCGGCCGCGGCCGGCGCCGCGGGGGCGGCGCAAGTCATTTGTAAGGCTACAACGCATTCAATAAGGCCACTACGATTCTGAATGGAGTAGCAAGCGTGTCGCTTCGCCGCACAAAACGATTGATCAAACGGCCAGACTTGATATCGGCTTTTATCCTTTATGGTGTAGGTAGCGCGGATGCTGATTGGTGGAGACAGGCCGGGCAGGCCCCGCGCTTAACATGCCCCAAAACAAGCGCCTCAGCGTCCACAGCGAACATTATTTTACCCCGTTCGGGAAATCAAACCGCGAATTCCCGAAGGTTGATTTGAACTCAACGTCTCAGGCGAGTACATGTCCTATCTGAACTGCCACGTCAATCCTGATTCACTTCTCATTGTTAGAATAAAAAGCAATGGTCTCTCCAGACAAGTCCAAAGCATCCAGGAGCAGTCCAGCTTTTTGCTAGTCAGTGAGGAAATCGGTGCAAAAGGGAGTAGGGTTTGGCGTGGCGCCAGCCAGTTTTTTTCATTTGTCAAATGGCAGGACTGGGTCATACTTCTCGTATTACTATTTTCCCTTTTTTCTGCTTCGACAACTGGTGAAGAGCGGGCTGGTAGCGTGCCAAACACAGCCTCACTGACAAAATCTTCAAATGAGCTGACCTTTTCGGGCTACCTCAGGGACGACGCTGCAGATTTTAGGGTCTACACTACGCTGCAGATTTTAGGATCTACATCATTGTGGGACCTATTTGCGTACTGCTCATCGTTATTGTCATTGTGGCCCTTTGCATAATAATAAGGAAGAAAGGCAAAAAACAGGTCAGAAATATAGATGACATAACAAGGAAAGGAATCCATCAAAGGAAAACTATTTCAGAAAGCACCACCCAAACCCAAGAAAGGATCTGCCGAGAAAAAAGGTTCATAGGTTCAGCTGAAACAACCAAAACTGGAACTGGCTCGAAGGAAACTCTCGAGAAGGGTGCAGCCAAAAAGGGATCTACTGAATCAGGAGAGATTGCATGACCACGTCTGAAAGACCATTTTATTAAATCATAAATGAATACCAAAAAGTCAGCTTTTTCCGTAGTACTAACTGCAACTAGTACAACTAAGTTTGGTGTAATAAAAGTGTTTTTTTGCTCTTGTATCGTGAAGTTTTGCCGAAGCTTTCTCTACCCCTGAATGACCACCCATCATATTTGTGCCCACTAAAGTTAGGCTTGTGCACCAGAATGTTTATTGATTTTGCGCGCGTGTTGAAAGGATCCAAGGCCTAGATTAGCACATTGGAGGCCTAGCGAGGAACATTGGAGGAGCGAATGGCGAAAGAGGCGCTTTAAATGGTGTGCGCCCTGCACAAAGACCTCAGTAATTCATCATGGCAACGCGCAGCATGTCCTGAGCTACACCCGAAGGCTTGACTGATAAGAACGTTATGACCAGGCGCGTCTCGCCGTCAGAAAAAATTTTGCAGTATACGGACCCAACCCAAAATTTCATTCTA